AAATTTGGCAAAGTCGAGTAATACACATAACGTCTCTTTGTGAGTTATTTTTGCGCTGCGTAACGCAAGCATTAGGTCTATACGACTTTCAACCTTATTTTCATACCAATACGGTTAATGTCAAATGGTTTGACAGACGAATCCGTCAACGCAGAGTTGTGCGACAAAATTTTGTCTAGGACATCAAAACATGTATTTTTTTCACGACCTTATGATTTGTATGTTCTATCAGGATATCTTATACAGTTTCATGATTTAGTCCGTTTAGTCATACACAAATATCGTTAATCATCCATCACAAAAACCCAGCTCCTATTTAATGGACTAACTTAAATACTGGTATTTCATACACTAGCGTGTAAACCAAAAACACTGTATGTGCGAGCACCTAAGTTTTGAGAAAATTAGCAAAAACGTTTTTTATTGAAATTTGCTTTTTTTATGAATAACCTAAAACATTTGAACTTTTGTATGACTTGAACTAATGGATATTGGTAATACCTTACTAGCCATTCCAATTTTACACAAAATGACATTAAATAAACAGAAATATAATTAAAATACAGTAATCTGCTTCTGCGTGATGAACATACAGCATAAATATTGTTGCTTTGTAAAGCAAAAACACTGTATTGGTTCATACAGTGTATTACTTTTACAATAATACTGTAGCGCAAAGTAGGGATGGAGTTAGCCTATCAGCAGCAGACTGCTCTGATATGGTTGCAATGACCTCTAACATGGTTGCAGAGTCCTCTGACATGGTTGCAGCGTTCTCTGACATGTTTGTAATGACCTCTGACATGGTTGCAGGGTCCTCTGACATAGTTGCAGAGACCTCTGACATGGTTGCAATTACCTCTAGCATGGTTGCAGAGTCCTCTGACATGGTTGCAATGACATCTGACATGGTTGCAGAGTCCTCTGACATGGTTGCAGCGTCCTCTGACATGATTGCAGAGTCCTCTGGCATGGTTGTACTGACCTCTAACATGGTTAGAATGACCTTTGACATGAATTTAGAGTCCTCTGACATGGTTGAAATGACATCTGACATGGTTGCAGAGTCCTCTGACATGGTTGTAGAGTCCTCTGACATGGTTGCAGCGTCCTCTGACATGATTGCAGAGTCCTCTGAAACGGTTGTAATGACCTCTAACATGGTAAGGATGACCTCTGACATGAATTCAGAGTCCTCTGACGTGATTGCAGAATCCTCTGACATGGTTCCAGAAATATCTGACATGGTTCCAGAAACCGTTGACATGGTTGTAGAGTCTCTTATATGGCTACAATTACCTCTGACAAGGTTGCAGAGGCCTCTGACATGGTTGCAGAGGCCACTGACATGGTTGCAATGACCTCTGACATGGTTGCAGAGTCCTCTGACATGGTTGCAGAGTCCTCTGACATGGTTGCAGAGTCCTCTAACATGGTTGCAGCGTCCTCTGACATGATTGCAGAGTCCTCTGACACGGTTGTAATGACCTATGAAATGGTTGCAGCGTTCTCTGACATAATTGCAGAGTCCTCTGTTATGGTTGCAATGACCTTTGACATGGTTGCAGAGTCCTCTGACATGATTGCAGAGACCTCTGACGTGTTTGCAATGAGTTCTGACATGGTTCCAGAGACCACTGACGTGGTTGCAATGAACTCTGACATGGTTCAGAGGCCTTTATTGTGGTGGCAGAGTCCCTGATATAGTTGCAGAGGCCTCTGATATGAATACAGAGTCCTCTAACATGGTTACAGAGGCCTCTGACATGGTTGCAGAGACCTCTGACATGGTTGCAGAGACCTCTGACATGGTTGTAATGACCTCTGATATGGTAAAAATGACCTCTGACATGAATTCAGAGTCCTCTGACGTGGTTGCAGAATCCTCTGACATGGTTCCAGAAACTTCTGAAATGGTTCCAGAAACCTCTGACATGGTTGCAGAGTCTCTTATATGGCTACAATGACCTCTAACAAGGTTGCAGAGGTCTCTGACATTGTTGCAGAGTCCTCTCATATGGTTTCAGAGTCCTCTGACATGGTTGCAGAGTCCTCTGACATGGTTACAGAGGCCTCTGATGTGGTGGCACAGGCCTAAAATACGTTTCCACAGAACCCGACCATTAAGTAAGGTTACTTAGAAATAGAATCATTCGTGATTTCGCATTCGGGGCACGCGCAATATTGTAAAGGAGAAACACTGTAATTGCGTTTACAGTGTTATGGCTTTACAAAACATGGTTATATGCACATACAGTTTTTTTTTGTTTGTCTATAACTTCAATTGTATTCACTTTTATGATGAAATATTAAGTTGAGGGTATGTATTAGAGTCTAAATAATGTAATTAACCTTATAGAGCTAAAACACTGTATGTGACACTTACAGTGTTTTTCCTTTACACGCTAGTACAGGTACCAACAATAACCAGTAGAAGTTTATCCCTTACCTAAATGGGTAAATTCGCTGTGTGGTGCCGACTCCTCTTCCCGTGGGTGTCGAAAGAAGCGACTGAGGAATTTGAGAGTTGATGTGTATTGCAATTTTAGGTGACAAGATAACAACAAGACAGGACTGAATACATGTTGAAAACCTGTTTCTATGGTGATACAGAGTCTTCTGAATAACTCTCAAACTTTGGTCAGGCCTGAAGTAAAAGGCCGTTTTTACAGCCGTTTACGCTTTGCCTGCCCCGCAAGGAATATCCCACCCAAAACATAAATGTGAAAGGCTGCCAAGTTCGATAATATTGGAATGCTTCGCCTATAAAAGAAGTGAGATCTAAATAAGTACCAAGTTCCATACACAGACCTCAGTTAAAAATGGTTACAGGAATGCACACTTGATTTTCCGCAGTTCGGAAAGTAGATTCTGAATAAATATCATATTAAATACCTAAAATTGTAATACTTACAAAAACGCAAACCTGTTTTTTCAGCAGTTTCCTTATAACATTTTTTTTTCTGTACTTTTTACTGATATAACTTGGCAAGTTTTCACACACTATGTTATTTATAAACTTACTAAACGCAATGAGACAAGTATATAATTTTCTATTAAAACTTGCCAAGTTATATCATTAAAAAGTACAGAAAAAAAAATGTTATAAGGAAACTGCTGAAAAAACAGGTTTGCGTTTTTGTAAGTATTACAATTTTAGGTATTTAATATGATATTTATTCAGAATCTACTTTCCGAACTGCGAAAAATCAAGTGTGCATTCCTGTAACCATTTTTAACTGAGGTCTGTGTATGGAACTTGGTACTTATTTAGATCTCACTTCTTTTATAGGCGAAGCATTCCAATATTATCGAACTTGGCAGCCTTTCACATTTATGTTTTGGGTGGGATTTCATTTATTTTTGTAAGGTTTTCGGTCGGTTGCAATTTTAGGTCGGTACGACCATTGGAAGATATAGATAATTTTTTTGTTTTAGTTCCTTAGGGGTATGAATTTACACCTTCATTCTTTTTAAAACCGACTCACACTTGGTCATTTTCAGATTTTTTCCTTTACCTTGACCTAAAGACCTACCTCCATGCCAAATTTCAAGTCAATACGACCATTGGAAGTGGTCTAGGTTTTTGATGAGTGAGTGAGTGAGTCAGTCAGTCAGTCAGTGAGTGTATAGTAAAAATAGCGATTTTCTGACGTCAATATCTCAAGACCTACAATAGGTACATTAATGAAATTTTGTATTTTAGATAAGTAAGTAGATCTCGACAGATATTAGAAATTTCATATGCGTAGATAAAATAGATTTTGAGTTATAGGTGGGTCGAACTTGGCCCGAAATGGTTCGTGTAATATAACCCACGGCCGGTGTGTCGCTCGAACTTGGCGGACACACTGCCGTGTGTCTAGATAATATAGGCGTGATATATGTATGTTAAAATGGTTAAATATATGTGCTGTTGGCATCAGCTCTCCCAAGATGGAGAACAGTGCATTATTTTTAACTGTCTGCTCGTTATCCTTAGTTTCTCAGACGCGTTTCGTCTCGCGATATAAATTGTTAGCTCGCTTTGCTCGCTACAAAGGACACTTTTTAAAACAATATTCTCTTAGAAATTTTCCAAGTCTTCCCACGTAGCGTCTCTGCATATTGCATTCCGGCGTTATGAGACAACCAAAATTGTTATTTTCTGTTAGAAAAACGTCACCATTTTTGTTTCTCATGGATAGAGTGTTGAAGGAATATAATTTACGGGCTGGACATGCTGAAACACATTTCTCGAGGAAAAGACTTTCCGTAAAAAAATTACTCGGTTCAGTAGAAACTTCGTGACTCTGCCCGAGCTAAGGCGAGTATCTAACGTCTGTTTGTGCGTAGTTTTGCGCAGTTCTTTCGCATGCGTTAGGAAAAGGCGATTTACCACCTCATTTTCATACAAATACGGTTTATGTGATATGCCGGTTGAACAGACACATACGTCGATGCAGCTTTGTGAGGTGCACAGCGTTAGTGGAAGCGTCTATTAAAATGTTTGACATCAACTATAGGTAGTCGTATAGGTATTATCCTAACGCATGCATTACGCAACGCAAAAATAACGCACAGAAGGACGTTACCTTTGTGTTTCTCGCCTAAACTATTGTCATCTCATCATCGTACATTATACGACATCCTGACTTTGTATAAGTATACCCGACTGCCACTACCCCGGCCATAATGTACCCTGGGCAATACTATTACAGATAACAGTTATCTTAGATAACCCACAGAAGGTTAAGGCGAAGGTCAAAATTTACATAATCGACCAATAAATCAACTATCCCATCGCCTTAAGCGATCAACCCGATAAACCCGGCTTGTCCTAACCAAACTGTAAACAATCAAACTTGGACAAGTGGTTAGACCTGTGGGGACCACAAACTACTTCTGTAGGGCTATTACAAAAGGATAGTAGATTAGAGGTAAATTTTGTATTGAAGGTTCAAGTGTTTGCTTTATACACCGTGTCTGGGAAGAAAAACGTTAAATTCATTGTGATTTGACATTCACTTGGCGCTGTGGTAGTGCGACTGCCTTTGACGCAGAAGGTTCTGGGTTCGATGCCCGGTGGGTCACTTCACAAAGGTGATATTACCTAATCACCTTGTAATTTGTTCCCAGTCTGGTTAGGACATTGCCGACTGAACCAAGATTGTTCCGTGTCCAATTTAATGCATTTCTCCAAAACACTGTGCATAGACAGATATACGTTTTGAAGGCAAACTTGTTTAGTTTCATGGGCAAGTTCATTCTGTTTTTTTTACACGTTGTATTTCATTTTTTACTATTTCATATACAACAAGTGTCATAAAAAGCTGCGAGAAAAGTCATCAAACCGCACAACATAATCCAAGTTACCCCTTTTCTTCTCAAGTATTCAAAACATGTTGTTTCTCCAATAAAGAAACATGTTTGACGTGGGTCTGTGTTGTCCGACGTCAGAACTTTACTGATTCTATGCCAAACCTGATATTTCAATAAGAAGTCAAGAATTATATTCATTTTATACCTATCGTAAGCAGAAGAACCACAGAAGAATCACTTGATATTTAGGATTTTCGCGACTGTCAATTGTTACATAGCCAGGGTTGCTACCTGTCAAAAATCTCAAAGTATAAGATGCCAAAACAGCAAAATCTGATACAAGAACGTCATATGATTCTGAACCAATTTTAATCCAAGAAATATTAAGTTCGTGGCAACCATCTTTTAAGTTACTTTAATTCCCCTGAGATTACAGTTATTTCCAGTTAAAGCCAATAAGCGTCAAAATCGTCGCTAGTACTATGTCATACTGAGTGACCCAAGTGGAAGAACCCTGATGCCTGGTGACAGAATTTTTGATTGTGTAGGCTGATACTTCAAAACTGGAAACTAATCAATCATCTTAAACTCGGACAATCAGCCTGCATTGTCTCACCAAACTGAAAATAACCGTGTGTCCGTCTCCTCAATTAATTCGGAACCAGAGACTTTTGTACCCTTTAATATACCTATTTAGCATATTTTTGTATAAAACTAAGACCGCATGAACACTTAGGCGAGGAACACACGCAACGTCGGTTTGTGCGTCGTTTGTTCGATTTTCCACCTTATTTTTATACGAATACGGTTTATGTCAAACGATTTGACAGACAACGCAGCGTTGTGCGATGCCGTTTGACACAAACCGTATTCATATGCAGGTAGGGTGGAGAATCGAATGAATGACGCACAAACCGACGTTGCGTGTGTTCCTCGCCTTAGTTTATTTTAAAGCAATAGAAAGAAAAATTTAAGAAAATTGAATTGGATAACATATAAAACCATTTAAAACCCTATCAAATAAAATAATTTAAATTAAAACCCATCTACACGTCCACAAAGAGAAATACATTGTGACATTTAAATTAAGCTCTTTTAATCTGCTGTGTGCCCACATTCGTGGCTCGTTTTGTATGATTATTTAAATTTAAATTATAATAGTGAGCAAAAGTCTGAATGCTTTGTGACCGCTGAAACGTAGAACTTTGCTACGGGCTACGGGCTACGAGCTACGGTAAACGTAGGTTACTCAATATAGCACGCAGCTATAAGGTAGTTGTAACTAAAAAATCAAACAAAGGGATAAAACCCTCTAGTTTTGGCCAGTCTGCTAGGCGCAGTCTTCACACATGAGGCGTGCGACGCGAAACATAAGGCACCTGTCTGAAAAGCGATCGTCGGTCGTCATCAATGCGATGCGCGTCTCACGTGTGTAGGCGGCGTCTCTTCCATTTTATAATATGTAAACGGTTTCAAACGTCAGAATATCGCACGTCTCACTTCTCCGTTTCATGTCTTACGTCTCATCTGTTGTGGAGTAAGTGCCTTATACCTTGCGGTATGTCGGATAGTTTAAATATGAAATCAAATAATTTCCGCGTGAGTACTTACTATTTGAATTAAGAAGTACCTAGGTATAACGTCAATCTAGAAGCAGGTTTTTGCATTGGCCGTTGAAAATATTCTACCACTTTACTCAGAAATACATAAGAAAATATTTTAAGAAATGAGAAGCTGTAACCATATTTTATTAAAGTAGAATTACTTATCATACTCACACAGTGTTTTCGTACCCTGAAAATTGCTTAAATCACAAAACTCTCCACGCGATGGTTTCATTAAAATGTACGTGACACGAGCGTTATTCTGAGAGAGAAAAATACATTTTCATTAGACGCGTAAAACACAAAATAGAGAGAATTTACAGAAGGACAGCTCACCCCTATTCCTGACCATTTATACCTACACTCTAGGGTGGCTACCTTTTATTTCTGAATTTTTGAAATGTGGTAGCTGGGTCAAACATAATTAGGTACAGTACATTACTTACATTATATCAAACTTACACTATAACACACTCATCATCTGCCTGCTCTTATCCCAATTTATTTGGGGTCGGCGCAACATGTTTTTCTCTTCTTTCTCTATCAGCCGCCATATCTTCGTTTACCTACACCTTTTTGATTCATATCATCTTTTACACCATATATAAGGTTACATTTAATTAAATAAAAAATTTGGACCTCCCATACAAAAATGTTGTAAAAGTGTGGCACTTAGTATGGGAGGTCCAATTTTGTTTTCATATTTCCCAGAAAAGTTTCAAACAAATGTTGTTCAGTTTCGTGAGTAGATCACACCCTCAAGAGATTTGTACTTAATTAAATGTTACCCTATATTTTTAATTGCGAGTTGTAATTTTACCGGACGCTGTTGACACTCGCTACTATACTAGCCAGTTCAAGATCGCGCGTAAACGAAGATGTGTGTGTAATCATTGTAATCGTAGTGACAGTTCCTTGAAGCCATCTCTCTGTATTGGGCGACCGTCAAGACTTACTTTGGGCGTAAAAGGTCAAAAACCCTTTTGACTTTCAAATAGTACAGCCTTGTGAAATAACCCATTATTTATTTGTCTACTAATATTAAAAGGGCTAAATGAAGTTTGTTAGGATTTTCGTTGAGCAATATTGCGAGTTATATGATAAATTAGGAATGTGCCTTTTTCATTTAGGTAGGTTGGTTGACAAATAGACAAATAGTTTGAGTCCATATCCATAACAGCTACAACAGTCCACTGCTAGACATCCCAATCGGGGGGTATTGCCATACACAGCACGCTTGGCAGACGGATTAGCGAGCGCAGTTCTAGATGTTGCATTTCCAGGGAACGCTGCTGCCTATTCCCTTAGTCGCTTTGTACGACCTGCACGGCTGAAACTGATTTAATAGTTTGAGTATCAATCTTTTATATCAACAATGTTGCCGTGTGATGCTGGCTTACATAGTCCGATATGAGTGACTTTTTCCTCTATGTTAGCTTAGAATAGCATCACCCCAATTCTACTCAAGAGAGTCGTAAAAAGTGACAAAAGAGATAGTAGCGTTCCCTATGAATGCAACATCTTGTAGTGCGCTTGCCAATCCTTCGTGGTAATTACCGCCATAGAGCCCATAAATAGGCCACCCATGTTTATCAGGACGTTTGTCGATTCAATGTCCAACAAGAAAAATATTGCTCAGCCATTGACTGGTATTAATTGTATCTGATCGGCTTTCAAAGCTGCCGGTAACTTGCAACCTATTTTTACATTATTAATGAAAAGAAACCACTACCTAACTGGAATGTAATTTTAACAATCTTTTAGACGGAAAGTTAATTAAACAAACAAAAGAGCCTGAAAAAAAACCTGAGAAATATTTGACAAGGAAAAATAAAAAGATGTCATCGAAATAAATGAAATCTCATTTAGATTCGGTGGATCAAAAGAAAGTTCATCAAGATCCAGTTTGATTTGCGATGATATGGTTCTTTAGCAATATTAATAAGAGTGTTAAACTATGGTAGTATATATTCTTGTTTTCACCACGCACGATCAGCTTTATTACAAAATCTTCAGTATTTTAAGTGTCTCATTTTAACATTATCTTATCACTTAAAACTGTAAGAAAACGTTAAGTTTTTCGAGATGCAGCAGTTTAGTTTTTACTTGTGACAGCTTTTTTATAGTAATAAGACAGCACGAAAGAGTTCTTGGATCATTCACAAAAAATACTGCAAAGGAAAGTAGAAATTAAAAAAAATAGCAGCAATACGGCTTAGTATACGTATGCCACCGTCAAGTCAAACATAAGATGAGCCAGACCACCAGCAATTATAAGATCCCTTTAAACTTGTTACTGAACCATAACAGTATTGAGTTATGGATTTTTGGAAGTAAAATACATCCCACCAAAAACATTTCCTTGTAAAAAGAACCAAGTCTCGCCGCTCAGTTCATCTACCTACTGTAAAAAGTTGTGAGATCCATGTGATGCCAAGTCGGTTATTGATTTATTCAAGGACTACTTCAGGGAACTTTCATCTTAAGCTATTGCGTATTAGGTAACAGACATCATCTTATAGTAACTATATCGATATTTAAAAACTTTTATATTTACAATAACTAGAATGACTTGGCAATCGCACACTATTTGCTTGTGAGATACGATGGTCTAGTGCGATGGCCGGGTCATTCTAGTTATTAGAATTATAAATATAAAAGTTTTTAAATGTCGATATAGTTACTATAAGATGATGTATGTTACCTAATTACGCAATAGCTTAAGATGAAAGTTCCCTGAAGTAGTCCTTGAATAAATCAATAACCGACTTGGCATCACATGGATCTCACAACTTTTTACAGTAGGTAGATGAACTGAGCGGCGAGACTTGGTTCTTTTTACAAGGAAATGTTTTTGGTGGGATCTCATTTCTTTTTGTAGATAGTCTTTCTCTTTCTCTTATCTGGAACTACTTCTTGAGCCTCAGGTACAGATTTCCTCAAAGCCCATCCGCAAATTTAACTTTGTAATCCTATATATTTGTATGGAAATACAAAGTTAGTTATGCGGTTGCAACCGAATTTGCGGAATGTTATAGTTTTCCCTTTATTTATACACTAAATACAAGGTGTATTCTAAGTTTCAAGCTCCTCAGTCTGCTAGAAGTACCTTAGAATTTTGATGATCGGTCAGTCAGTCAGTCAGTCAGTCAGGCAGAAAATTAAGA